GAAAATTTCTTCCTGAAGCTATCTTAAATATTTGTGCTCAGTTGGCTGACAAGATATTATATTTCATGTTAACGCTCAAGCAAATTCTAGATTTGTGACTTATGTTTTGTTGCATTGGTGTGTTTTCAAAATCGACAGAATATAATAGTGTCGATTATGGACTACTTTTGGGATAAATGTATAATTTGGGTACTTAGACTATGATATTAAATGAATGCCTAAATTACAAATCCTTTGTACCTAAGTTACTTGAAAGTATGTTAGATGCTTTGATTGTATAGTCTAAACCAGTACGTGAACTTCAATTCATTTGATGAATTTTGTATATTTGTCACATAAGTCACTTAAAATATACTAAATCACCCTGGAAAAATTGGGGCGTCACATTGAGAAATTATTTGGTCAGAATGAGGAGCTTGGCCAAAAGTTAAAGACAACCGAACAATTAGAGAAGGTGACTCTTGATGTAGCTGCCTTGGTGAAGGGGCTTAATTCTTCCCTTGAAGCAAATATGGAAACCCTTCGATCTTCACTCAAAGATGCTGAGGACAAGGCTTATAATGAGGGTTTGAGAAGGCGGAGAGTGTTATGGCGGAGCAAATCCCAGTGATTGAAGGTTTTTATTTTAAGAAAGGGTGGGATACGGCCTTGGTGGAAGCCAAAGTTCCCACTGATTTTGAGCTTTTATCTATGAATGACGTAACCGTCCCTTCTTCTTTAGGCAGGAATCTTCCCCCGACCGAGGTCCCTGTGGCCAACACCCCTGTCGTCGTTTCTTTTACTGTTCTTATTGATGATTCAACTGTTGATCCTATTGATCCATCTGATGTGCTTTAAAAAAAATTTGTGTGATGTTTTCTTTGAGACATGTAACTTTTGTTTTATGAATAGAAGATCTCATGTTTTTTTTTATGAATAGAGGATCTCATGTTTTCGTTTTTGGATTTGACAAGTCACTCTTACTCCCCCCCCCCCCCCCCCAAAAAAAAAAAAAAAAAAAAAAAGAATTTTTGTATGATCATGCCTTTACATTCATGTTGATTACAGTGATTCCAAGAATTGTCCGTGTCAAACCTAATTGTCTATGGATAAGTAAAGAGATATACATATTAACTATATTTTTAAAATCAATTGTTCCATCAATAAAATAATTTTGAGATTAAAAATCCTAATTAGATCAAACTACATATTTACGAATGAGAATCTCTCATCCGATCATACAGGAAATTGACTACTCACTCATGGCGAAAGTAAAACTAAAACCAATTATTAAAAACATGATCATAATCAAAAGAGAAATTGAACTTGAATTGAAATCAACCAAATACCTTGTGTTGAGATGAAAACTATAAACGGTTACAAAAAATAGAATCAACGTACTCTGCTTGTGATAATTAAAGGACTAAAGAAAGACAATACTTCGTAAATATAAAAGAAGAAAAAACATTGAAGAACTGGTAGAAAACCTAAAGAAAAACCCTATCTGCTAAGGTTGAAGAGAAGAAAAGAAAAAATCTGTAAAAAGTAGCATAGGATTGATCCCCTCTCCCTTGCTCAGCTCTGGTTTTTATATGGAATAATTGACTTAATTTCTTCCTCTTTTTCTACCAATAGAGGTACCTTTAAAATCCCCAGCTGATAGACTTTTCAAAGGAGCCCTCGCTGAAATAAAATACTAATGAATGGGTAGGAAGCAAGTCTCGACCTACCACTAGCAAAGTTATTGTTCAGATCTACCAGTAGCTTAACATCAATGAACTAGTAGCAAACTTTTGGTTTCAGATGAACTGATAGGTTAAACATGAATGAACTAGTAGCACATCACAACTACCGATAGGTCTGCTACCTGACACCTGATGAACAGATACAAAACCTACCAGTAAAACTTAATTTTTCTAAAATTGAACAGCAATGCTCCTAGCTTCATTTCTAGCTCATTCCCAAAGTCTTTCAAAACATAAAAAATGAATGCAAAATGTTGTTTTTACCATAAATCACCTACAAATACAAACATTCCTCATAAAACTAAAAGTAAACTAAAACAAAACATATAGCTAATAAGTAAAGCTAAAATGAATTATATGAGACATAAAATATGCAATATTGTGCACTCATCAATCATTTTACATGTGGACTTAGATTGTTCTTTTAGATTCTGTCTTGAATAAATGACTATACAAATAGGACTTTGACTTGATAAATGTTGTTTGGAATATATGTTGCATTGGTTCTTAAATTTTCTGAGAGCAAGTTGTTTGATCAAATTAATTATTAGTATGAAGTCCAAGATTAATCTGATACATTTTTTGATTTTATATTCTTGTATATTAAATATTATTCGGATTGTGCATTGCATGCTAAATAATGTTCGCATTATGGTGTGCTCAAGCGGAAACAATCTTGCTCAAGCAAATCTGGAATATTGATGGTCACCAACCTCTATAAAACATGCGTTTTAGCTCATTTCTTCTCCACAACTCTCATTTCTCTCCAAATCTCTTCCAAAGCCACCTTAACTATTCTCTTTAGGTTCTAGCCTATTACTTAGATCATAGGTTTGAGAATTTCGTACAAATTTCCTAACATATGAGTCTTATGTTGAGACTCACATCGTGTTCGCCAGGAGGTCAGTTCTCATTGAGTGTCCTGTCAACTTTGAGGACTTGCCCTATTCGAGAGCCATTTCCACATTTGTCAAGAGGCAGTGGCTTGAGATTTTCGTAGCTCCAAGTGTCACGATAGTCAGTGTTGTGCATGAGTTTTGCAGGCAAGTGGTTTGTCAAGGACTCCTTTGTGTTGTTTGTGGTATTCCAAATATAGTAAAATCATTTATTGAAATTTCTGATTTGAAACATGTAATGTATAACAAACAGTAACAATCAAATGCAAAACAGATACACAAAAACAGTTTTGCATGAAAGAGTTATAGGAAAGAGTTACACGCAACTTTTTATTTAACCAATATAAATACTAACTCGGTTGCAGAACAGAAACTGTTATTGAAGTTTAAGTAGATCAATGGTAGTGTTTGACACTATGTCCTTAAGACAAATTTCGCCCCCACACACAATGCATATGGAATATCGAGCGTCTGCCTTCCAGGATACAATGATCTTTATACGAGTAGAAATAACACTCCAATCTACTCGTCCAGTGAACCAAAAATTGTGTTGTGTACTCTCCAACACATTGCCTTAATGTCGAAATGCTAACTGCAATGCACTAATGTTTGCCTTAATGCCGAAAATAGACTGAACAATGAATATGAATGAATGAATGCATGAACTGGGTATTTATAGACATTTTAGTGACTGTTCAGACAGCCACCATACTAAAAGTCACAACCCAAAAGATAAAATGCAACAGCCAGAAGACACCTTGAGTAACTGTTCTCCATGAACAGACACAACTTAAAAATAATTTTGGACTAGATTCAAAAATTTCGGATTGGAGGGAAGCACAAATCCGAACCAGTGCGATTCAAAGGATCTTGAAAGTTAAATTCGGATTAAGAAATTCTTGTCCTATTAATTAAATGAATTTTCTCCAAAAAAATAGGGTTTGCTCTAAACCACACCCAAACCTGGCCAAGTTGAGCTGTGGCGTGGCGAGGTGGACGGGTGGTGCATGTGTTTAAACCAAAGGTATGTAGACGCTCGTTCCGCTTATAAAATTGTGGTACCCCTTGGGGCCCAATCCCATAAAGCAAACTTGGCCTATATATGCTCACGTAGAATTTCTTCCTCAACCAATGTGGGATTGATGTCAAATCCCACATTACATAACATTTATTTCCACATCTCAAGAAGCTCATTTTGAAGCCTATTTTCTCGTTTATTTCTTACTCGATTTGAGCAAGTGAATATACTACATTATTCTCCTCGCGGAGTAAAATATGAATCCACAAAAGTTTACTCGAAACAACGAACGAGTCCCACTTTAATTTTGGTTCAAAGTCGATCAAAAATTCAATTTTTATACTTAAAAAACTATTTTGGTCCAACACTTTGTACTTCAGAAATGGGTTTGTGAAGCACTTCAGACTACCGAGGGTACAATATCCCCAGTATCCACCCACAGGCGATGCTCATCAGCTTGATTTTTATTTAGTTGCTAGCATTAGAGAGGCGAGGTTGCATAGTGGGTTGTACGTACAGTGATGATTATAGATTCTCACACCTCCCTTCAGACTACTACATAGGGATACTGGTGTGATCTCACCCTGCAGTCACATATCGACAACAAGACAGGAGGAGGCGAGATTGATATGTGCCATATACATAGGAGCCACTATAGATCTTCCATTTTGGATTTCTAGGCTCATTTGAAAGGATCGAATGTCACTCACGTGTATTACTCCATCAAGTGTTTTATCAATCGATTGGTACTTGTGAGGGAACTAAATACAGTACCTGGTGATGAGATTCTTCATCCTATTAGTTCCATCGATAGCTCCATCCTCCCCTTGAATGATGCACATGTTCTGGAGGATAAGCATCACCGAGCTCAATAGTAGGAGCAGTCCAAATAGCAGCAACCACAGCCAAACCAAGCTGATATCCCACCAATGCCTGATCAGGGTGACTTCGCCCAATGAGCACCACAGGGAGATGCTGAAACAAAGGCTTCCAACGTCTACCTCCACCTCTATTGGATGACCCTCTAGCTGATAAGGCTACAATTTTGACCAGGATGCAAGATCAAGTCTTTGGGAGGCTACAATTGTCACATACTGTTAGCACCTCAAGAAAATTGCACATAATAGGCTTAGTCTCTATTTGATTAACAAAATCTTATTTTCGATACATAAAATTTTAATGCATACTCATACTCTAGAACATATCAAAATCGACCACGATGAAAATAATATTTAGAACCATATAGGCGGCTAACATAGATAATTACATAGCATTTAATTGACAATGAGAAAGCATTGAGGTTGTGGAAATTAAGCATAATCAAATTCATAGTGGCTTGGAAATATATTTCAATTTTCTATTTTTTAATTACCTTTTTCCTTTTCCTTTTCCCTTTCCTTATTTGTGCAGAAAGGTTGTCAACTTTATTAACGGCAGCTGAGCGCGACGGGCTCGTCACTGGGATCGCGGTTGGAAGGGGTTGTCCAAGAATTTTGGGGGTGCAGCTTGTTCAAAGCACATTGACAAATACTTAGGTTTACCAACCATAGTGGATCAGTCTAAAAGAGAAGTTTTCAGCGGTATAAGAGAGAGAGAGAATGGAAGAAGTATACTGAAAAAATAAATGGTCTATCAGGGTATCTCGACCAATCCGGTGGGAATTACACAAGTTGAGGCAGAGTATACTGAAAAAATACAAGAGGCACTAGAGACAAGGGCATCAAATGATCATCCACCCCCCTGCAGTTTCAGAAGCTGCAGCCGTATGGGTTCCTCCCAAAGCAGGTATATTTAAGGTTAATTTTAGTGTGTTTGTTATGGATTTAGGCCAAACCTATGGCATAGGAGTTGTCATTAGGAATGAACCGGGGGTGTTTATGGCTGGCCTCTCAAAGAAAATGGATGCAACTTGGGCAGATCAAGGAACTCAAGCAGCTGGTTTGTATGGAATGAGTGAAGCCATTCTCATTTCACAGCAACAGGAGATTGATGAGATAATCATTGAAGGAGACTTACCCAATGTTTTGAAGATATTCAAAGAATCCAGAGACGTGACTTCTTCTACGGGTCTCAGAGTTACTGATATGGCAAACGAATTACGGAAATTCTGTTCTTATGAAGTGGCGATCGTCAATAGACAGGGCAATAGGGTAGCAACTAGATTAGCTCAACATGCCAATCTCATTGATAATGTATTTG